AAAAACAAAAAGCAAAAGAGACAAACAAACAACACCCCCAAAACAATAATAGTACTGGTTTTCAAAACAAGATGATAGAAATTTAACAATGATTGTGATATTGCATATTGTTACCTTCAGAAAGGCTGCTGAGATTACCAGATATAAACACATAAATTAGATCTACTCAAATGAGTACTATTCTTTTCCAGTAACAATTCGTAGTATAGGCATTTCTATTTTGTAAAATAAATGCTTACTCAGTAGTAGTATAGTCATTTTAGTAATACAGTCAATTAGTAGTACACAATTAGTAGTATATTGTCATTTTAGTGATCATATATATACATATATATATATATATATACACAAATTTATGTCTTTTTCCTTTTCCTTTCCTTCCCCCATCTCAGTTACTTTTCCTCCTTTCCTCTTAGAGCAGCTTCTTACCATTACACAATATTTGTTGTGGATTTTGGAACATATTACTCTTAATTAGATGAAAGAATTTATGCCTATAATTTTTCCTCTAAGTAATACATTAGCGGTACTAGATAAGTACCAATCTAATGTACTTTCATTTTCATTTACCTACAACTATTTTGTAGATTTTTCTTGTGATTTATTCTATACCAAAATTTTGCCAAAAATAATTACTTTGCCAAGTAATTATTCTATATATCTTTCTACTTTTGATTTTTAATTCATGGTTTAATTGTACTAGGGCAACAAAAAATGTGCATGTGTGTAATTTCCTTAATATTTATTCATATTTTCTTTCATGTCAAGTGTCATCATTTTTGTAAAGAAATGCACTTAAAAATGAATATATAGTACATATAGTATTCTAATAGTTAAATTTACTCATTGTCAAAGAGTTATGTTAAAATCTTTTACTGTAACTTTGCAGCTGTTCAGTAGTATTTGCATCCCTGTGGAATTGTATTTTTACACTTTTAGACCAAGTATTATGGTGCATGGAGTGGAATCACTGTTATATCTTCCTGAGGAAACATTTGTTTCATAGTCAGGTAATGTTCATCTTTAGCTCTATCAACATATTATGCCTTAACTTCTACTTTGCTTCATATTAATACTGCTGTATTAACCTTCATTTGTGATACTTTCTATTCATTTATTTTTCTTGATGAGAATTTCTTTTTATGTATTTAAAAAGTAAACCTATAAATAGGTACACACCTGTCTTCCATTATTTATATGTGTATGCATATGATGAATGTCTCTTTGTCACATATTTGTGAATGCAATCAAAAGAGACTAAAACAGAGGGGGAGAGAGAGAGAGAGAGAGAGAGAGAGAAATAGAGAGAGAGAGAGAGAGAGAGAGAGAGAGAGAGAGAGAGAGAGAGAATGAATGTAGAAACACACACACATATCTATCCTACCATAGCTTTGTAGTAGATGTTGGGATATATCTCCTAGATTGGTGACAGCAAACCTATAGTCCTTGTGCTATTTGCTTTCTCTTAAGGCAAAAGATGTTAATGTGTGAGTTATTTTTTTCTAAACTAAATCTTCAGTATTCAAGATTAATTGCAGTGCTGGACTTTTGGAATAAACTTTCAATTTTCATTTTCAGTTTGGGCATTTGTCTCTAAAAGATTCGCCATCACTGTCCAAGATCCTCTTCCACAAGCAGGTGCATCCATCTTTATACTTCCTAAGTGTTAACAACTAATGATTCCCCCTGCAACATTTTAAAGGGACTGTGGTACTCCCTCCACCTCCTGTGTATGGGACAGCTAATGATTAATTGATGGAGAAAGGAAGGGTGATGGGAAATAAATACCACTGTGTCTCACTTCCCAAGGGAGAGCTCAGTGTGTCACAGTCTGTGTTCAAAGGTTTCATGTATGATCATACTGATACTAGCTTTCCACTGAAATTACAATTCTGCTAGTTTCTTTCTCTGTAATATGATGTATTTCCTTACAAATTTTACATGAGAGAACTTTCCCAATAAGTTACTTGCACTGAATCTACATCCTAGGTTCTGCTTTGAAGGGAAACTAACCTACTATGGCACATACTATTTGTAATTTAGTAGACATTAATTAGATATTAGGAACATGTGTTCATTGATCATGACATAATTTTTCCACAAATGTCCCAGTGAAAATTATCCCTACATTGTACATAGAGAAACTCAAGCTGTGTGAAGTTGAAGAATGTGTATTTAGTTTGTAGTAAGTGGCACATTTTAAAATCAAACTCAAATAAAATGGCTTCAAAACCCTTGTTTTTTCCTCAATGCCTCACTGTACATGTATCATACTGTTTATCCAGGAATATCTATAGCTTTTCTAATGAAATGGAATTTGATATGCATTGATGCAATTTGTTTAAAATAAAGGTAATATGCTATGATTCCTATAATATACATAAGGGATCACTAACGGGCAAGCATGAATTCTATTAACAAGGAAATAAACATCTTATATGTACCTTCACTTTCCTGAAAGGGAACGTTTAATAGAGGTTGGAATACAGCAAGAAGGAAAAAGACCATGTCAGCACAATGTTGTTGGTCATACACAACACATGCTTATATTGTGTGAAGGTGTCAGCACAGGAAATATGCATATTGAGAGCTGCCTAATTCATTCTGCTTTTCAGACTTAGGTACAGTGGTTTCTTTGAATGACTCCAAAGGAAAAATTGCAAGAAGTGTTTTTGTATCAGATTCAATAACGTATATTTCAAAGCCATAACTAGTCATGTAATTGATTACCTAGTCAACAGTAAACGTCAACAGTAAACGTCAACAGATCCCACCCAGAATAACGCTTTCATTGTTATCTTCATGAATCCATGATTAAGTAGGAAATGTTTCATTTTTGTTTTTTCCATTCCTAGTTTATTATTTTTCAAAAATAACACATGCACCATGTTTTATAGCCCCTTTAAAGAGTTATATAATCTTATTTCATTAAATACTCTAAAGGAAAAGTCCATGTATCATCCATTTGTTTATCACAAAGTGGTTTTCTATTTTACTTTGTCTTCTGTTTGTTGTTGTTGTTTTGCTTTGGTTTCCTATAACACCATAAAATCCAATAAACCATTTTTTAAATATTCTAATTTCTATTATATCTTGCCAATGACTAACAATCTTTAGATTCCAAATAAAAACAATAGACAAGTGACTGTTCAAAGGGAGCTTCCATTGACCCGCCTCCAATTGGACCTAACAGCAGACACCCAACTTTGAACACCAGTACCTTAATCCACAGATGGCTACCTTCAAGAAATCAACCAATAACAAATGATGGAGAGGCTGTGGCAAGAAGGAAGCCCTTCTGCATTGTTGGTGGTACTTAAACAGATAAAACCACTATGGAGATTCCTCAAAAAACTAAAAATAGAAATTCCATCTGACTGGCTGTTTCCTTTGTAAATATCTTCCTAAAAGAATTAAAGACATTATACCACAGTGATATATACATTCCCATCTTTGTAATGGCATAGTTCATAATAGCTAAATCTGTACACCTAATAGATAAATGCATTAAGAATATCATACTTATATATAGTGTATTACTATTCTTCCACAAAGAATGACAATCTTGAGATATTTTTAGGTAAATGAATGCAACTCAAGACCATAGTTTTAAGTGAAATAAATAAAATGTACAAGTTTAAATATAGCATTCTCTTGCATGAGAAACCCAAAGGGTAAATAAGGAGCAAAATGGAAGATACATATTGTAGAGTAGAAAGAACTTGTTCAAATGGAAAGAGGAACAAGGGAGGAGGAGGGGGAAAGGGAAGGAAGGGTGACCCCATAATCCAGTCACCTCCCCCAGAGACTCTTAAATCAGCCAGATTGGCAATTGAGCTATTCTTTCTGGGGTGAGAAGAAATCTCAGTGTTGTTTTAATTTGCATTTCTCAAATGGCCAGTGATGTTGAACATTTTTTCATGTATTTTTGATCATTTATGTTTTTTCATCTGAGAAATATCTATTCACTTCAGATGCTAATTTTTTAATTGGTTCTTTAAATTTGTGGAGGTATAGCTTTTTTGAGTTCTTTCGACACTTGTCCTTTGTCTGAGTGAGTATCTGGCAAAAATTTTTTTTCACATTTTGTAGATTGTCTCTTCACCCTGGTAGTGGTTACCTTTACTGTGCACAAAGTTTTTATTGTGATATAATTCCATTTGTTGATTCTTTATATTATTTGTAGTGTAACCAGGGTTTTGGTTCAGAAATTTGTTTCCTCACTACATTTTTCAAGAGTTTCACCTATTTTTAATTATTAGCAGATTAATATTTTGAATGAATGTGAAATTTTTAGTGGACTTGGTAATGAATAATAGTCCTCCTTTACTTAGAGAACATTGGTAAATCTTTTCCTTGGTCATATATTTTTCTACAGCTCTAATTTATTACTTTAATTCTGGTTACTTTTCTGCAAGTTAGTCACTACCATTTCAACATAGGTCTTCTGTTTTACTAAATTTTATTTGGAACATTTTTATTGCATAAGTACACTATTAACATTATAATAACAAAGGATGAAAGTAAAGTCTCCAAATATATTGGCAATCTTTACATGTTTGATTTTGCATATATTGTTAGAAACCAAAACATGTTCTTCTTGTATGATTCAAAATTATATATTTCTAGTATGTGGTTTCTGCTACAAGTTGCAAGGTAGACCTACAAGGCAGCTCGTAGAAGCATCTTCCAAGACTCCCATAAGATCGAGAGGACAGGAGGTAAAACTTGGAAGTTAGTGAGCAATGCTGTGTGTTGGGTGGACAAGGAGCAGGACTTTTCAACAAAACACTTGTCCAAAGTTGAAGATGACAACCAACTGTAGTCATCTCCTTGTTGACACATATTTAGAAACAAAATGCATTTCTGTAATGTATATTACTACTCATTTTTCTCCCTCACAAATCACTTTTTATGGGTGAAGTTAAAGGCTATTTTTAACATTATCAACTGTGCCTGTAGAACACAGACTTGTGAGACTTGGGGTGAAGTGTACTCACGCTGACTTTCCCATTGCGGTTGTCATCTTCTCTCACAGCCAGAGCCTTCAGAAAATTATCCTGCAAGTCTTTACCAGCACTTGCTAGAGCCCTGTAAAAAGAAGGTCCTCATTTATTTCATGTGACAAATATACTTAAAACATTGGGTCCAAAAGTCAGGCTTTTTTATGTCAAGTGCAGGGTGGCTTATAACACTGAAAAAATGTGCAATCATTATGATCTGCTAGATTTTTTTGTTTGATTTCATGCAGTCTATTTGCTAGATTTTTTTGTTTGATTTCAGTCTATTTGCTAACAATGGGAGTCAAATCTATAAGGTATATATATGCATGCATGCATCAGCACTCATGCTAGATACAGTTAATTTATTTATATGCCTCTTTTTTTGTTTCTGTCTTATCAAGAAGCATTAACAAATGTTTACCTCTTCCTTCTCAACAAAAAAACATTAAATTGTCAAATACATGTGGTTATGCATGCCTATAATCCCAATTCCTCTCCAGGAAACCTAGCCAGAAGGCTCACAAGTTCCAGGGAGGTCTTGGCAACTTACAGATCCTGTCTCAAAATAAAAAAATAAAATAAAATAAAAATGGGTGAGACATAGTTCAGTGGCAGAGCCCCTGGCTAGAATGTTCAAGGTTCTGAGTTCAGTTCCCAGTACTGTGCAAAACAAAAAAACAAGCAAAAATTGTCAGTTATTTAAGTGTAATTTATTTATTAAATTAAGGAAATGAAAATAGTATATGCCTAAACCAACACAATTAGTGGAATAGAGCATTAATTTTAGTTCTATGATGAGAGGCAATAAAGACAAGAAAGGAAGCTAGGTTGAAATAATTTTGTTAGACAAAAGAAAGCATTAAAAAGAAAGTTTCAAGGAAACTTATCACAGAGAGTAAAGAAACATAGAACAACTTGATTGTCATGGTTTTTATCTGTGGCTCCCAGGCCTCATGAGTTTGCGTTGCGCATTTGTGATTGGTTCTTGTTGTGTAGTGCTTAGATTGATGGTGTCAGTGCTACATCCACATAGGAGTGGAGCCAGGATGTAATGTAATGGCAGGAAGGAGTGTCTTGCTCTTTTGCTGGTTTCTGCCTTGCTGTTTGCAGCCACCATGAAATGCGGCCTGCCATACCACCCTGCCTTGCAGCCAACTGAGTATGGATTGAAACCTCCAAAAACTGTAAGAAATAAACCTTTCCTTTCCCAACTTTGGTCATAAAGTATTTTGTCTCAGCTACCAGTTAAAAGTAACTAAGACAATAATGAAAAGAGTTCAAAAGTGATTTGTGATACTAAAATCTTGTCTGGTCTGATTTAGAGTCATTGTGGCAATGACAAGGGAGGAAAGTCTAGATTTGCAAGTACTTAAGGGGTAAAATCAAGCTGGTGACTACATTTGGTGAAGAATTCATAAGCAATTACTGCCAGGGTTCATTAAACTAATAAAGACAATTATAATAGATAAGCTACTGACTATTTTGTTCTCATAGGAAAACAGCCCTCTAAATGACTTGTTTGCATTTACTTCTCTACCTTTATTGTCCTTGCCTTAATACCAACTAATGGTCCAAACATCCAGATACACATCAAAAATAACTGGTAATTAGTATCAATGAAGAAAGCTAGATATTAAGAATTTATCCATTTTTGTCAAAAAATGAATCCTCCACATTACAATGTATCCTAAACACTATTCTACCACCAAAGTCACAAGTTACAAATATCAGTTGAATACTCAAAAAGCATGTTAAAGTCCATTATCACCAGCCACATTCCACAACAGGGCTTTTTGAGACAGGGTCACACTATGTAGTTCAGGCTGACCTTGAACTCACTATGCAGTCTAAACTGGACCTGAAACACAGTGACTCTCCTGTCTCAGCCTCCCAAAAGCTGGGATCACAGGTATGCACAACCATAGTGAGCAATTATTTTCTTTCTTTTTATAATTAACTTTAACGGCTCAATTTAGATATGCATAATGGTCATATTCACCTTAAGGTCACATTCACCTTAAGGTACAGGTAATTTTCACCTGTACAATTTAAACAAATTGTTACAGTAAAAGATAGACTACTTTTAAAGTCCTCATAAAAAATTTCCCATTACTTCAAACACAATCATTCTTGCCACCTTCTGAAGTTTTTCTGAAACTTCTTTTACATGAGTGTCTTTATGAAGTATGATAAAAAATATGTAACTACTAAAAATATTAACAGTGCCTTCATCCACCTTATTTGGTCAATCTAGTATTTCATGACTTCTGACTCTTCCTCAAAATCAGCCATGAAAGATGAATATTTTGAATTGATTCAGGACATTGAGACACACAGGACAACGTAAGTAAAGATACTCATGAAAGAAGCCTTCCAGAACTGTTTCAGAATGTGGCAAGAAAAATGGGATAAATGTGTTTGCACAAAATGGGGAATATTTTAAAGAAAATTAATGACAATCTTTTACTGTAGCAAATTTTTTATAATTTAAAAATTAATTGTAACTTTTCAACATACCTTATACATATCATAATTTGGTGAGTTATACACATTTTATGACATATTTTACAACTTACAGTCTTATATTGCTGTTGTTGCTGTTAGTTCTGGTAATATGTATGAAAATGATAATCAAAATTATTCCCAGATGTATCTGAGACAAAATGCTAGAAAAATAGATTTTAGGTCCCATTTACTACAAGAGGTTCCAAATATTCTTCTGATTCTCACTTCCTTGCTAAGAGCCAGGGTTTTCAGCAGTTTTCTGGGCCAGGCAGGGAAAGGAAGCAATTCTTGCTATAGGTCTTGCTATTGTGGAGCTTGTTCTCCTTTCTTTCAGTAAAATAGAAGCCTCTGTTTTCAACTGGGTACATAGTTGCCTGGAATAAAGAGCATCTTTCTCAACATCTCTGAAGCTAGTTATTTCCATGTGACTCGTTTTTTGTACAATGGTATCCAAGTAAAAATGATGTGAAAATTCCAGGACATGTATCTCAAAGGGGGTGGGTACATGATTCTTCCTATAGCTCAAAAAAAAAAAAAAAAAAAAAAAAAAAAAAAAAAAAAAAAAAAGACTCTCTGATACCTTGATGCACCAGTACAGCCAGGCTTGTCACCATATTGTCTTCTTCACTATGAAACTGAAACAAATTTATGTTGTTTTAGCCACACTGATTTGGGTTTTTCTATTATGTTCAGCCAAGCCTAATCCAAAAAGATAATTCAACAAATGAACCTTGCACATCCTTCTGAAGAAGATGTTGTTCTGTGATGGGTTTGGTGACCAAATAGAACTTTAAACTTAACTGTAATACTGTAAGGATTTCCTGTTGAAAAGAAAGATTTGTATTACGGTTTCTTTCTTCTTTTGTATGCCTCTTTTTGGTTTTTGTCTTGTACTTTGAGTAATTACTTTGAAGATAATAATACACAGTGAAATAGCTAGTGTTATTCTTGTATTATTAAATTTTTTATATTATTTTTATATTATTTTTTATATTATTTTTTAAGTAGAGGTGCAACCTTTTAAATAGAAGCATGAAATAATGAAACTATAGAACACAAGGTAAGACACTCATCTTTAATTCCTATTCATCCCTCAACTGATAAGTTTGAATCAGTACATTTTCGGAATGTGGGCTGCCTCATAGTCTGAGTAATCTTTATGCCCCCTAGATGGTCCAAAGCTTTTTATTTAAATTGATCATATCACATTAAAAATCACCAAACACCACCAACATATAATAGTATAAGAAATGTGTGTATTATACGGACAACTCATGAGCTCACACTGCTGCTTCTGGACTACTATTAAAATCTTCCATGCAGAGACAAATTTCATTTTCTAAAACTCTATAAGGAAGATAGAAATTTTGCTATGCAAGTTGGAACAGGGTGGATAAGTGTTTCTGATTCCACAACTGTATTTAGCAGACAAAAAAGAGTACATAAATAATCATTCTTACACCATGCTACAGCTGAGAATTTGAAACTTCTCAGGAAGAGGAAATACTAGAAAAGAAAGTTAATATATGTGTGGTAAAGAATTCTTAAATCTTTAACATGCATTATTGTTATTTAACTAGGTTTATTTAACATTCAGTGACCTGAAAAACCTTGCTTAAATAAATATTACAAAAGGAGTTATTTCCTCAAGAAGTAAAGTAGATCTGTTACAAAATCTTAAGGGTAGAAGTTTTGTAAAGGTAAATATTTCATCTTTCTTGTTTACACTCCACTACACTTTCAAAATGGGGTAAAAGTTACATCGATGAGTTAATTTTTACCAACTTTGTTTAATCATTAGCTGAAGGTATTTCTATAATCCCACATGAGTGACTAAACATAGTCTTAATCCTCAACAATTAAACTACTAACTTTATAATTTAGGTATGTTGTTTATGTATTATATCACATGTTTACATTATTACATTAAATGAAATAGAGGAAGAATAAATAACAAAGGAAACTGGAAATTTAGAGTAGCAACTCATTTTCAAGATTTTTTCTTTCCTAACAGTTCATTAATAATGAATTATTTCACTATATATTTGTGATTTATTAGTTGTTTTAAGATTTTAAATGTATCATTGGTATTGTTCAAATCAGCAATGATGACTGACCATTAACTTGTGTTCCAATAAGTAACTTCTGATACTCACTATGACAGGTCAGGGATTGAATCTTATTTTAATTTAAAAACTTTGGAATACTTTTTACTGTTCTCTGTGTTAGACATTTTTGTAAAACTTTCAATTATTCTCAAACCAAGTCCTAAACAGAGATGTTAATATCTATTTAAGATTTGAAGTGAAACTCCATGAGGATAAATAATTTGGTTTATAATCAGTTGGTATCCAGCTTTTAGTCTAGATCTTATGATTTCAAGTAATTATTCTATTACTATTACATTGAAGTCACAGAAGATATCAAAGTCAAACCATTGTAATTTTCTTTCATTGTAAAAGCACTAGGAATTCATTGGGGAAAAGAAATTTAAATTAGTAGGAGTGTATGCGGATGAAGTGAGTGAAGCAGGAAGCCTTCTTCTTGAGACTCCTACAGAGAGCTAATTGCACACTCATTATT